GAAATTCTTAATAAGGAAAAAAATTTTAATATAGTCTTACCTACCACAAATCCTCATAGACTTAATGATTTTAATAGGAAGCCATGATGTTACGTATTTGAGCCAGGTTTAAAAAAAACAGTGGTAACTATGGGCCAGTATTCAGTGAATACAATTTCATGGTTTTTAATTCTTTTCAATTCACACTAAAATGGTGTGTTGATAGACCCCAGGTAAATGAATCCTTTCTTTCCTATACATCTCCCCCCTTTTTTTGTTTTGAAGAGGGGGCGTTATATTTATTGTTTACTGAATCCTCATGGGAAAGTGTGTCAAATATGTGTGAACTGCTACTACTGTATGTACAATTTACAAGCCTTGTTTTATTGATATTTGTAGAAGTGATAACATGAACATGATTACCCATTTATGTGAGTCTTCCATGGATGAGCAATGTCAATGAGGGGATTTGGGTTTTTCCCTCTCTAGTTTTAATGAAGTTGACATATCACTATTATGCTCATAAAAATGAAGTGAGGAAAACAAGTAGTCCTGTTTGCTGCTAAAAAACCTTTTCAATGGAAAAATAAATAAAAGCGCTTTTTACTTTTTACGATATTCAGAAAGTAGGGTGGAGAACTTCAAACAAACACTCCCTGGAGATTAAAGAGGCAGTCTCTGCCGATCACAAGTTGGTCGGCGTCATTGCGGGTCTGACTGGAGCCCTGTGGAACTGTTGTGGAACTTACCAAGCCCCTCGGAAGTAGTACATGGTCAGAACTATGCTTCAGTTTGATTCTGAAATAAAAACCAAATTTTTACCTGTCATTTTATCCACATCCCTTTCTAGTGAGAGTCCTGAATTTGATAAGGAAACTAGATCTAGGAGTAAGGGCTGTCCAGATCCACCCCTCTTTATCTCATGCTCCCTTGCCTGTGCTCACGGGACCTGGTGTTCACTGACACCCACTGGGTGGCCAACACTGGGAATTGCACAAATAAGGCACAGACTCGGGGGGGTAAATACATTAGAGAGGGGGGGGCGGAGGGTGCTTGCTGGGCAAGCAATTCCAGATAGCAGAGAACTCCAAAAGTGTACACCCAAGGCCCTTCTTTTAAACACACACTGAAAAAGATGCTTCTGCTAAAGAAGAATCATGTGAAAATTAACTTTAGAATTGGAAGCTGTTGTACAAAGAATCCGGGGTCACTCCTTACTCGGTTTGAATGAACAGAAACTCGTGAAGTAAGTGAATTGTGCAACTTGAGCTGAAACTCTTGCTTTACACGACTTTCCTCAGCTGCTGCTCTTGCCTTCATGTGTGAAAGTGAACTTGCCTGGGCCTACAGTTCTCGTCACACTTCCTGGGGAAAGCTACTGGTGCTATTGTGTTCTGGCATTAGAGCAGAAAAGTCTAAGGCCAGCATAGTTTCTGTTCCTCTGTAGATTTTGTTTTTCTGCGTGCATGGTTCTGTGTACTTATCTCCAGTTTTTGTGTCGGTGACATTTGTCTGAAATGAATCCAGTGTACCTCCCTCTTGATTTTTTTTTTTCAAAAATACCATTGTCTTAGTATTCCTCTCATCTTTTTCCTTCATGCTAGGAAAGCTGCTCAAATTTCATCTCCATGTGACTGGCTTTATTTTTAGTGTCATTCTGCTATTTGCTGTTTCAGACATAAATTATGTCACTTGACATCTAATTTTCTTGACCTTTATCCAACCTTCCTTTTCCTCTGTTTATTTTTTATTGTCTTTTCATAGAAACCACGTTTTCTTACATACTTTTAAGGATGTTAAAATTCTCCTACATTCTATTCTGATTTCCAAATCAGAATTCTGCTAGATTCTGATCTAGCAGAATCCCCCACTGAGCAGTAGATTCTGCTCAGTGTATTATGCCTTTTGGTTCTAGTCCGTCACACTGGGTCAGTGGGACCAGTATTTGACCAATATTTGCCAGCAGGTGTAGAGAATGGATTGCCCTTGGTTCTGTGCTCCCTTTATCTGGATGCTGGTCACAGCCCCCTCTCACCACCCCCTGGGGACAGACACATCTCCACGCATGTTCCGCTCCCGGGGCGTAGCTATCTTGTCAGTGCAGCTGGCCATCTCAACATGCTCTACAAACGCCCCACTGCCGGGGTTCTCCTTTTCTCTTTCTCTCAGGAACAAAAAATATATGAAATCCATTTTTATATCCCCAGTCAATACTTACTAATCCTTGCTCAGTGTGTACAGTGTCAACAATGTACACACTTGTTACTTAACTGAGATATCTTCAGTTTACTTTTCATCTTAAAGTGTATTTCACCGATGGTGCTATTTTTAAAATTTTTTTCTCAAGTAGAAAAATGCAGGTAAGTAGGTCAAAAGGGTTTGTAGTGTTAACAGGCCAAAAAAAGAAAATGTTGAAAAGCAAAAGCAGAATTTAACACCCCCCCCATAAAAATGTGAAGATGTCCTCCATGCTTTTTTCTCCGAAAGCTGGTGTGTACAGACAGCAGTCGAGACTAGCAGACTTCACTGTGAAATTCTAGACTTACTGGGGGTCTGGCCCTGCCAGTTTTCTGGCCGAAAGTGTGGCCCTCCCCGTAACCTGTTGGCCATCCTGTCTCCTTACCTATGCAGCGAAAAGGTACATGCCCTTCTATAGCATAGTACGGATCAAGTGAGGTTAATAGGAAAAGATGTTTTAAAATGTCTAGGACCCTGAAACTAATCCCAAGGTGCAGTATTGAGCAATTCCCCGTAGGAAGCTTTTCACCTATTAGTGAAAAGCTAAAAATGGTTACAGCTTGCAATCTTCTTCAACACTTCCCACCCCTCCCCCACCTCATTTCAACACCACACAACAGCTGCTGCTCTGAGATAAAGGAGTGCACATGGTTTGGTTTTTTTTTTTTTAAGATTTTATTAATTTCTAGAGAGAGGAAGGGCGGGAGAAAGGGAGAGGAACAGTAATAGGTTGCCTCTTGCACACCCCCAAGTCGGAGGTGGCTGGCAACCCAGGCATGTGCCCTGACTGGGAATGGAACCAGTGACATTGCAGTTCTCAGGGCAGTGCTCAGTCCACTGAGCCACAGCAGCCAAGGCTGCACATATTACAGTCATGAAAACTCTTCTAACACCAGTTTAAGGGAAGTGAGCCAGTTAGGAATAACATTAGGTGTTACTGAACCACTGACAAGTAGATTTTGTGACTCAGCACTTAATAGGCAAAACAAATAACCAAGTTAAAAACTGAGTAGTGTGAATTAAATAAAGGGAAGAAGGCTGTTAAATATACACCGGATACACTGAGTCAGAAATTTTAGAACTACATTCTTAAGAGTGGCGTCTGAGGCTTTATATGAAAAGGCTTGAGTTTAAAGCATCCGTTAAAACAGCCGCAGCAACATTCCTGTCCTATACAGCCGGAGAGTTGGGCGGCTGCTGCAACACAGTGAGTGTGCTCCACGGTTCTTTTGAAAGCTGTAAAGTACTACATGACTGTACGATATTTCAACGATTGATAAAAAATGGTAACAGCTTTCTACATTTTTATTAACTTTACATTTTAGAGCAGCAATTTGGGTTCATGGGAACATTGAGCAGAAAATACAGAATTTCGTTATGCCCCCACAAGCAAACCTCCCCCACTATCCATATCCTGCACCAGCTTGGAACATTTGCTACGATCCATGAACCTACAGGGGCACACACACCATTATCACCCAGAGTCCATACAAAAGTTACATTAGAATTCACTTTTGGTGTATTTCATTCTATAGATTTGGACAAATACATAATGGCATGTATGCACCTTTGTGATACAGAGTAGTTTCAAGATGCATGGCATCTTTAAATATCCGTTAATAATCAGCAACGTTTATTGAGCACTGCCATGGGCCATGTACTCTTCTAAGGGCTTTTCATTTAATCTTCACAGTATCTGTAGGAGGAAGGATGCGAGAAGTAAAATACTTCGTCCCTAAATCACCCAGCTGCTGCCTCCTAATCCCAGTTCTTTCCGTGTGCTTTGGAGCTTCGGGGAAAAAACAATTTACATCTTAATGTCAATGCAATTGCATTTCAGTAGCAGGGAGAAGGAACTACCTAATGGGATGTTAACTACACAATCCTGGAGGCTCTGGGGCGTCAAAGATAAACTGGGCTCCAAAACACCGAACCCATTAGTTCTTTAAACATCAAAACACTGAGCTAGAATCTATCCTCCCAGCACCACCCACAGAACCTTTTCCCCTTTACCTCTAGCACTTCCACGAGTAATGCCCATCTATCCTGATGATCTCCCATCTGCTAACAACCTGCTTCAAGTCCGTCCAACCAGGATTTCTTGTCCCTCCGAAGGTCCTCCGTTTACCAGGCTTCCTGTGTGTGTTCAGGTATAGAGCCTGGTGCTCAGGAATATTTGCTGAGTTAACAGAATTAAAAGGCAGGGCCCCTGAGCAGCCACGACAAGGTCTGACACTAGGCGTTGAATCAAGCTTGGGTCTTGTTATAAATGTAAGTATCCATAGAGCTTCCCAGGCACATCTTAATGTAGTGTAGCGTCCCGACATCAACACCTAACGTGAAAAATTGCCTAAGTACCATCCTTCAACATCCCAAGCAGTCCAGCACGCTGGTTGGTGGGGCTCTTTATTTATTGTACGACTCAGCGGTAATTCTGCGATCTTAAGAACTGACCAGCTGGACCAAAAAAGAAGACTCAACTATCTGTAGCTGTCCGGGGCTCGGACGCTTTCGGTCTTCCAGAGTACCAGCTCCCGTGCTGGGCTGACTACTCAGCGGTATGTGGTGGAGGTGCAGAGCCTGGAGCGACGCCCCTCGGAGCCCACAAGTCCGAATGCATTTCCCGTGCCCCACCCCGCTCCGGATGTCCCTCCAAGAGCGCTCATGCCTCAACGACCTTCGTCCAGGGGCCCTGCGCGGCAGACACTGGACCACGGCCCGCGCCCCGCCCCCCGCCCGTCACTCACACGACCCGACCAATGGCGGCGGCGGGGGTGGGCCCTTGTAGGGCGGGGCCTGAGGTTCCCTGCGCCGGAGCTTGTGGCGTCAATGCGCTGCTGTGTCCATGGAGAGAAGCTGAGGCTTTAGAGCTCCGGCCCACGGCACCAGGGCGCCGGACGGCGAAGATGTCGGCTTCGTTAGTCCGGGCCACCGTCCGGGCTGTAAGCAAGAGGAAGCTGCAACCAACTCGGGCCGCCCTCACTCTGGTGAGTGTACACTGCGCGCGGCCTGGCCCTTGACATTGGTTCACCTCCGTTCCGCGAGGGGCGGTCACGGCGTTAGGACGCGGCACTGCTGAGCAGTGGAGCCCGGACCCAGTCCACAGCTTTACGCCCCCACAACCCCCCAACCCCTGTCCCTGCTAGGAAAATAAAGCCGGAGGGGCTGCCCCGTGCGATCCAGCACTGCGGGGACTACGTTTCCCATCAAGCCTTGCGCGCGGTGTGCGGGAGAGGGGGTGTTGTGCGTGTGCTCCGCACCAGTTTCCCTGGAGCCCAGGACCCACCTGGGGAGACTTAGGGGAGCGGTGCTTGAGGTCGCAGGTTTAGAGGTCGTTCGCCCCAAGCGCGGGGCATAGCTGGGTGAATAAGCCGATTTACCCTTGAGGTCCTTGGGGAGGACGGGAGCTTGCCGACGGACCGCAGTATAAGTGCGGTGATTGGTAGTGAGAGCGCGTCCCCAACAAAGCCCACCCCCTTGCTGGGGGAATGGCTGCTGGGGCTTTAAGGGTTACTTCCTGGTGTTGGGGTTAACGGAGGCTTTTTGAAACACACTGTGTGCCTGCGTTTTCCTAGGCCTTGGTCAGCTCTTTCAAAGAACAAGGGATAAAGTTGTCTATCCTGAGTTTGTTTTTACACCGTTTTCTGGGTGAGAGGTCTAACATACTCAGAGGACACCAGAGTATAAACGCGGGTGCTTAAAGAATTTAGCGCTCATACTAGACCCCTGACGCACTATACAGTGTTTTGTTTTGTTTTGTTTTGTTTTGTTTTGTTTTGTTTTGACCGAGGGAAGATTCATGAAAATTTAATCATTTTAAAGTGTTCAATTAAGTGGCATTTAGTACATTCACAATATTGTGCAACCATCACTTCTGTTTAGTTCCAAAACATGTCATCCCAAAAGAAAACCATGTATTTATTAAGCAGTCACTGATTTTTGCAGTTTGTAAAGATTGATTTCATTGGAAAGTTTATAATCAGGTCAACGTTCTTCACATACACACACACACCTTTGATTAAGGAGATTGCAAGTATTTATCAGCTAGAGCTAGAAAAATAGATTACTGTATTTAAATGGAATCATTGAGTTAGGTCAGTGTAGTGCCATAAGCTGGAAAATTACTGTAGCAAAACAGAAGAAAGTCATGATCTGGTGGGAGAACTTTTTACAATGAATCAATTAGGCCTCGATTACAAGGCCTAATGAACTTTTTAGGCCTGTAAGAAGGTTATGCCAATTGTATAGGATGCTGTATTTTATATTTTTTTATGTGCCACCTAACACTACCAGTTATTCAGATTTCCTAAGGTCTTAATATCACAAGAACTAGAGGACATGATTCCACTTTGTGTATCGTTTTAATCTCAGTAAAAATTATTCAGGATTGAAAAGGATTCTACTAGTAGTAGAGCCAACAAGTGCAGACACTTTTTTTGCGCTTTTTTTCCTCCACCATTTGACATGTTCCCAGTTTGTTTAAAATTTCTGAGTCATTCCCTTCCTCTCCATTTCACAGTTTAAGAAATAAATGTTACGTGGTTCCCACTGCCCAGGCCTCTGTACCTCTAGGAATTAGTAGGAATAATAACACCGTCCACCTTCTAAAACCTGGGCTGTCTCTCCTTACCGAACTCCCTGTGTTAGCACTCACCAGGCCAGTTCTGTCACCAGCACTGCTTTATTGTCAGCCCTCAGTTCATAAGGGCTCCACGTTGCTTCTGATGAACTGTTCTGGTTAGGTTGCAGGAGTCCATTACCTGAACTCATCCTACTTTGCTGTCTGGCTAACCTCACTTCTTTTCCCGTGATCTGCAAAGAAGCTGGTGCCAGAGAAAAAGCATGTCCATGCTGCTTTCTGCCAACAGCATAGAATAACAACAGGCTTGCAGTCATTTTAATCCTAGCATGTTTCCTGCTCTTAACTCCCAACATGTTCTGTGAAGTATAAAAGGAGTGAAGTTATAAAAGGGTAAAGAGGGGAAATAGATGAGAGCAAATGAAACTAAAGATAATTCGATGAAATGGGTAAGAGCTCAATGTTACCTAGATACACAAGTTTTGACATCAGGAAGTTGACGTGTTTGCAGCTTTTGAGAAGCCCTGGACCTGTGCAGTCTACCGAAGCTCAGTGAGAGGCTAGGAACAAGAGTTGGTGAAATGAAAACATGGTTCCATGTTGTCATCACCAAATTACCCGCATTAAATGATGGTACTCAAGGAGAGGGTTGGTGTTTTGCTAGAGAGAAAGACCAAAAAGACTGGTGACAGGCTGCTGTGACATTTTTTATTTTGAGAGGGGGAAAGGAAAAGAGAGAGGAACGTAGATTTGTTGTTCCACTTACGCATTCAGTGGCTGATTGTTGTATGAGCCCTGACCAGGGATCAGACCCCTAGTTGGTTAGATCACACTCTAACCAGCCCAGCTACCCAGCCAGGGCTCAAATAAGAAACTCGTTAACCTTTTAGTATATAGGCTATAAAGTCACATATACCTGCTTTGATCACACACACACAGGAATAGGAAAAGACAAAGGAAAACAGCACCACAATGCCATCCATAGCTATTAAAGAATCAGTTAAACAACATACACTGCAATTTGTTTATTGGCTGCTATTTATCCACCATCTTTTAAACCTTAAGATGCTATATTTATAATAAAATTAAAATAGCTTGTAGTTGTCGGTACATGTTTACTATATACAATTATGGAGTTAACTTTGGGTTTTAATTTTATTTTCTTAAGCAGCAAGCAGTGAAAATTGCCTGGGTAATTACTTATGGAAGCAGTATTGAGGATGAAAAGTTTTCCGCTACAAGGAGTAGAAACCCAATGGCATTGAATAAAAGTGTGTTGCCATGAAGTAGATGAAAAATGCATCATCTACAGTACATTTCCCAATAATTTTAACACCAAAAACAGATTGGAAATTTTTTTTTTAATTTGTATTTATTGATTTTAGAGAAAGAGGAAGGAAGAGAGAGAAATACTGATCTGCTCTTCCACCCATTCATGCATTCTCTGGTTGACTCTTGCGTGTGCCTTGGTAGGGGGTCAAACCCCCACCCCCCAGGACTTGGGGACAACTCTCCTGCCAACTGAGCAGGGCTGGCAATCCTGTTTTAAAAGGCTGAACTATCTCACTCAAAGATTGTTCTTTCATTTGAAAGAATGTCTTATTCTGTGACACACATATTAGTAGATTACAAACTATCATATACCATTGAGATTCTCTTTGGTAATCTCTTAAGGGTAAAGAGATTCTCTTCTAAGAATCTCTTAAGTCTTCACTGGCCAAATCTCAGGTGACTTAGAGTCATTAATTTTACATAAATTTCTTGGACAAGTATCGGTTTCTTAGCTGTTTGGGGAAGTGCAGTGAAATGAAAGGCTGGTAGGCTTGCCGCATATTGTTTGGTGGAATTTTCATACTGTTTCCCAGGTTGATTTTAAGTGCAAAGTTGCTGGAGTATGCAAACAGATTTAGAGCAAAGCGAGCATCTTAGCTTCTGCCCGGTCCTGAGATACAAAAACATACCTTTTTTAGCCAGAAGTTTTCTTTTAGTCCTAAATGTTCCCTGTTTAGTCATTCTTACTTGTTCAGAAAATCAGATCCATCACGTGGAAAGCTATAATAATCATATCTTTCTCCTTAAATGAGCACTTAACTGGGTTATCCATCATTAGCAACACCTCCTCCCAAAGGAGTATATCTGGTATTTGCCTGACACAGGAAGATTCAGGCGTGCCTGGGTTCCTATGTTGTCTACTAAGAGTTAGAAAAAAATACTATTTTGTAAAACTAACTTAGATCACTTAGAAAATGCCTTGGAGATAAAAGCCCTTGGGGTTCGTTGGCAGCTCAGTGAGCGCAGGCCCCTTGTGTTCTGTGCGGTCACGCAGCAGTGTGTCCTCCACACCTTTGACCCCCAGCTGTAAACCAAGGCCGTTGTACTTGCAGGGAACATTTTCCCATGGCTGAGCCTTTTTTATATCACTTATCAGATATCTTTTGCTTTTTGACAATTATATTAACTTCTCCAGGACTCATGTGGGAAGTATAACCATGAAAACTATGGAACCTAGTTTTTACTGGCAGTCATTTAGGAGGGTAAATGAGCACTTAAAAATTCTTACGTTTCTGTAACTATTTGAGGTTGGTGTGCTACGGTTTCCAAAAAAATAAAAGCCATGTTCGTTCTCTTCAGCATTACCTTCTTTCTCCTCCTGCACACTGTTTCTCGTCTTGTTGGGCTGCTTGCCTCCTGTTCTGATAAAACCCTAAGAAAAGGCCTTCGTGCACACCTGTTGGTAGTGATTTGTTTCATTTTTTTACAGTGATGCACAGTAAGACATATATATATACGCATACTCACTGTATAGTAATAACTGAATTCAAAGTTTCACATTCATCTTTGTCAAGTGCAACGCATTGTTTTCTGTTTTGTGTTGTTTTCTGTGTTTTAAAACTGCTAGTCTCGACTTTGTAATTTGGGTCCAGACTTTGCTCCAACATCCTCAACCTGGCAGAGCCCCGGCAGACAAAGCAGAAAAGTGCACTCTGGCCCGTCCGCCGGCTCTGCTCCCTCGGCACAGGCTTGGTTCTGGCCTCAGCTAGCACCCAGTCACAGGTGGTAACGTCCACTCTTCAGGGTTTCACAAACCAGGAAAATGCCAATACAAAAAACTGGGGGACCAGCCCAGCATTGCCAGCTGGAGAAACTAATAAAGCAGGAAGGGCATGATTTCTTCATTGTAACAACAGCTGGCTTGTATTTGGCGCTGTCCTACACGCTCTGTGTGAATCCTGAGGAAGAGGGACTGATACCCATTTAAGCCAAGTGATGGGCTGGGACACAGCTTGGAGGTGGACTGAGAATGCCCTGGAACAGCCTCCATCTCAAGAAAGGTGTGGAGGGAGCTCACCTGTGCACATGAATACGTTGTGATGCTTTTCTTGTTTTGAGGACAACAGGGCTAGGTTAAGAGCATTTCTCCCCATTATTGTTTGAAAGACTCCTCCCTGATGTTTCTGTTGATGACTAGCTTAAATACCCTGAAATACTGATCGGAACCAAGTTTAGAGTCTGAACATTTGGTGGGACTGGGCCAGGAGGCACACTCTGGCTTCTTTGTTGTGGGCACCATTTCATGGAGGAATGCGGTCCGATGGATTTGACATGGGCTTGGGTAAGCAAAGGAGCAGTGGGGTTAATAGTCAACAGGAAAAGGGCCTGAAGGCGGGCCTTTTCACTGAGGTACTTGATTCATTCCTTGGCTTACTGAGCGCTTTCTGTGTGTCAGACAACTGTTTATTGCTGGGCGTACAGTAGGAGCACAGAACAGATGCTGCCCAGAGAGATGACATTCATGAAGGAAGGAGACAGTGCCATGGAGAGTATGACAGGGAGTGAACGTGCACACAGGGGAGCAAGGTGAAAAGGCTGTTGCTAGAAGGTATTTTTAAAATAGAAAGAATGATTTTATTAAGTAGAGTTCATATATTGTATAAAATCCACAAGGTACACAGGTGAGAATGAAACAAATTTATCACATGAATTTGCTAAAGGTAGACTTGCGTAGTCTCATAAGGCTTTGAAGAATGCAGATTGTATAGCTAAAAACTCAACATTTTCTTTTCCAGACACCTTCAGCGGTAAACAAGATAAAACAGCTTCTTAAAGATAAGCCTGAACACGTAAGTAAAACCAATCAAACAGATTTCGTACTTGGCAAAAAAAAGTTGTAGTTTCACAATGAATTTAGCTGTGATAAACAGTATGCTTTCATTATTTAGGGAGTTTTGTTTTAAAAGTAATATATGCTAATGATATTTTTTAATTTTTAAGAGTTTATTTGAGCCAGACTGATGACACGTCCTGGGGAGCAAGATTGCAGATGCTCCCCGAGTTCAAGTACTACAGTGGGGTAGTCACTGCAAAGGAAGCCACTCTCCTGCCCCAATCATTTTGTCGTCATTCTTCCTTCTAAGAGGCATCTTTTTAGTGTCCTTTTAGAGAGAATTCGTACATTTTATAGACCAGGATTTCTCAGCCTTAGCACCACTGATATTTTGGGCCATGTGACTCTTTGTCGGGGGTGGACCACAGGACATTTAGCGTCATCTCTGGTCTCTGCCAGTGACTCCGCTCCACCCCTCGGTTGTGACAACCAAAAATATTTCCCTGAGCGGAACCACTGGTCTGCTTGCGTGTGTGTCTCTTTTCCTGCTTGGGTGAGAGCATACCACACATGCTGTGGTTATGCTTGGTTTTTTGCTCCTAATAAAATAGCTTGAAGACCTTTTCAGATCATTACATGAGGTCCACTCATTCTTTTTCATGGCTGCATATAATAGTAAACTCCATTGAGCCAGTTTGGTTTATTTAGCCAGTCCCCCACGTTACAGGTCTTTTGTGTTGTTTTCATTCAGTGCTGCCAGAAACGTCATTCACCTGACACTCAGTGCCTGCCTTGTGCTGGGCCCACGGGCTTAGTGCATCTGCACGGGCCGCGTTCCTAGATGCGGGATTGCTGAGCAGCGGGCATGCACACCATGGCAGTCCCCGTGCATTGCTGACACTGCCTGAGGAAGGCTGTGAATTACTTCCAGGACTATTAACATTTAGCGATGAGACTGCAGGCTGGTTCCTAGGTTCCATGTACAATCTCCCATTACAGTGGGAGTTCTGGCACCTTCCTCTTAAGAATTAATAAATGATAAAGTATGTCAGCGTTCCAGCTCCATGTGGATAGATTAATTGACCAAATAAAGCAAAAATTAGCTTTGTAGATTTGAGGGATGTCTGTGCCGACGTGAAGGGGGCTGAGCGAACACTGGGTCAGGTGTCTCTGTGACACCAGCGGTCCCTTCTCCACGAGCCCGCTGCCTGACGCTGTGCTCTCACACTCTCAATGCCTGGGTCCGTTCTCAGCGCCGGACTTCCTGCTGCTGATCTTCCCACTTACAAAGGTGAAAACTACGGTAAATACTCAAGACTTGCACTCCAGGGTTTGAGCGAGGCAATTTATTGTGTGTTTATGGTGCCGAATATGTCACACTCCCTCCTGGGCTCTGAGCTGTGGCTCTGAAGCCGAACAGAACTGCAGCTCCAGCTCCCTGCAGTTGTTTAAGGACGGGGAGAGACCGCTCTGTGAACGCTCCAGCTCATCCCAACCCCCAGGCGGCTTCACATTTTAACTCACTCTCCACCAGTAGCTTCCCTCTCCTTGATTGCTTTGCTAGAGGAAGTGCACGTTGCTGCTTTTCAGAGACTCAGGATCTGCTTGGTGAAATACTATTTTTTATGATGATACTTTTGCTGCACACTTAAAAAGCAGGTATGATCCAAGAATAGAAATTCAGTGGACATTGTTAGAAAATTACATTAAGGTAGACAATTGGTGTTTTAAAAGTGCTTTTTGGTTACCTTTTTTAAAAAATTCTCTTTGAAGGGCTGTGGTCATTGATTTTTAGAGAGAGAAACATTGATGTGAGAGAGAAACATGATCAGGTGCCCTCCTCATCTCCTTCACTGGGGATCGAACCCACCACTGTTCTTGGTGTGTGGGATGGTGCTCCAGCCCTCTGAGCCACTCAGCCAGGGCTGTGTGATCACTTGTGAAATTTCTTCCCTCTGCGTTGGCATCAGTCTGTGCTTTCCGGTGTTTGAGAATGTTTACCCAGGTCTGCCCTAGAATTAAGGCCTGTGGAGAGGCAGCATGATTCCAGGCCCATGAACCTGGCGAACCTAACCTGGGGGAAACTTCCTGAGAACCTCTCCCAAAAAGAGGTGGAGCAAAAATGCTTTTTTTGTGTGGAACTGGCTTTTGAGCAAGTTTATTTTATTAGGTTGGCATCTCTGCCATCAGATGCCTTTCTTTTTTCTTTTAAAGAAAGTGATCATGTAGCACTGGCTGGTATGGCTCAGTGGATTGAGCACCAGCCTACAAACCAAAGGTCACCGGTTCAATTCCCAGTCAGGACATGTGGTCCCCAGTTGGGGGTGTGCGGGAGGCAACTGATGAATGTGTTTCTCACACTTTGATTTTTCTTCCCTCTCTTTCTCCCTTCTCCTCTCTCAAAAAGTAAGTAAATAAAGCCTTTTTAAAAAGTGATAATTTATTTTTTTGGATTAAAACCCTTTCCATAAAAGTGTTATTCCCAACCTAAATGGCTACTTACTAGTTGGTTAAGTAGTAAATGTACATTGGTAATAGTGGGATGTGATGTAGGCATTACTTGTAATTACATGGGAAGATGATGTCTCAAGTGGAAAAGACAAAGGAAAAATTTTCTGCTATAATAAAAACTATGTTTAGATGATATACGTGACAAAGCCTGAAAGAAAATAGGAAAAAACATATAACCTGTGTTTTTAGGGTAGTAGTGACTATAGTTTGTTTTTTTTTCTTTGTATTGTTTTCTTTGTACATAATTGGTTTTTATTCTTTTTGGGTCACCACTAGTGTCATAATGATTGTACCATAGGTAAAACTTTACAATGCTTGTTTCCCGCCCTGGCCCATGTGACTCAGTTGATTGGCGCATCCTTCATGCACCAAAAGGTTGTGGATTCGATTCCTGATCAGGGCCCATTCCTGGGTTGCGCGGTCAATCCCTGGTCCAGGTGTGGGCACCTGCGACCCCCAGTCCAGGCACATACGGGAGGCAGTCAGTCAGCGCTGCTCTCTCGCATCAATGTTTCTCTGACTTCCTGTCTCCTTCTCTCCCCAAAAGAAATGAAATAAAATGTCCTCGGGTGAGAATACAAAAATAAAAATAAAACGCCTGTTTCCCATTCCACTTCTACTTCCTAAAGGACCATTTTGCAGCCGGGAATCTGATACGTATCTTTGAACTTCTGAATACATGAATACTCTCATATAGTCAGGATTTTTAAAAATATTATTTAACCCGTGCTATTTTAAAACTCAGTTTATATTTACATTGATTTTTCAGGTAGGTGTGAAAGTTGGTGTCCGGACCAGAGGTTGTAATGGCCTTTCTTACACTCTAGAATACACAAAGACAAAAGGAGATTCTGATGAAGAAGTTGTTCAAGATGGTACGTTTTCTGGGCACTTTATTTTGCCTAAAATGTTCAAAGTGATGATGGTGGTAGGAATGGCACGTGCAATGCTCACCGTGAGGCGGGCACAGCCTGACGGACTTTCCTGTAGTGACTGATTTATAACAGCAGCCTAAGGAGAGTGGTACCATGTTGCCCCCATTTTGCAGATAAGAGGAACTGAGGCATGGAGAGATTAGTAATTTGCGTAAGGTCACAGAGCTAGTAAGTGGCCTTGTGAACATTTGAACCCAATCACATTCACTCCAGAGGCTGTGGTCTGGTAGATTATCGGATAAACTTGTTTGTTTCAGTTATGAAAGATTATTGTTGTGTGTCAAAAGAGTTTAAGATGATAAAACTTCAAAATGAACCAACTACTTGTGTGGAGAGTAGCAGTTTTATGTATATGTCAAGTAACATCATCTCATGCTCTTGAGGACTCTATATTTCCAATTTTAATTTCCAAATTAAAATTTCCAGTTCTTTATATTTGCCCCCCTTCCTGCCCCTCTGCAGTAATCCGATTAAGCCTATTTAAAACATAATAAATTAATGCTGCACAACACTGAGGGAACTTCGTTACAAGGGTTTTGCAGCGGTGGCTTTGTGCACCGGAAGTGTGCTGTCGGCTCGCTTTTCTGGGTCCCTCGGATGAGTTCACTGTACTAAATTGAAGTTACTAAGAAGGAAGATTTTCGCCAATATTTTACTTTTTAAATCAATACATAAATTTTTCCCCTTACAAGATCTAATAAATACATATAGTTTATATTTAAGTAATGACTCAATTTTTTGAGGAAGAAAGCTTTCTTAGATTGATTGTATTTATACAGATGGCAACTTCTGCCTGCACAATGACTAGGAGGCTGTGCTATCACCAGTTTTCCAATCCATACAGAGGGACAGAACTGCTGTGTCGTCTTACACCAGCCCACTGTCCCACAGTCCATTGTGTGTCTCCAGGTGTGGCGGTGTGCACAGGTGTCATTGCATTTCATAAACATTACTGACTCCCTCTTTACCAAACTCTCACTGTTATGTTGCAAATTGGAGAAATGGGTGAAATATTGTGAAAAGCAAATTGTAGTTTTACATAGTATTGTCACAGAATTTGCTTGTGTGCCGCTTCCTGATGTAATATAATTGTTTTTGACATAGATTGTGGTGTAGAAAGAGGGGACAGGAAACTGAGCGTGGAGTCCCTTAAAGGACATAATGAGACAGGAGCGTCCCGTCTGGTCTTTGTTAGCGGTGACCACTTCAGGTTTACTCGTGCTCTGAGTCTGCAGGCCCTGTTGGTGTGCAGGCTTCATACGTGTGTTTCTTCTCCCCAAGGAGTCAGAGTGTTCATCGAAAAGAAGGCTCAGCTGACACTTCTAGGAACAGAAATGGACTATGTCGAGGACAAATTATCCAGTGAGTTTGTGTTCAATAACCCGAACATCAAAGGAACGTGTGGCTGCGGAGAAAGCTTTAACCTTTGACCCCCCCGGACTCCTCTGGCCCCGAGCCCCGGGAAAGCCCGCGGAGCCCCCAGCGTGCTGAAGGAATCGTGTGCCCGTCAACGTGCTTGAGGGTCATGCTGCATGGCTGCCTCCTAAGGAAAATAAAGTGATGCGTTTGGAAAACGAAGCCAGTGTGTTAGATTTCAGAAGTGGTATTTGTATTCTTTTTAGGGGACAGAATGTAAGAAGCCATCATTCTTTTGGGGTCATTTTTCTGATCTGTACAGAAAAAAAATCCTACCCTGCACTTACTTTTCGTGCATCCTTTCTGTTAGATCCAGTTTTACAGAAGGTGCCTGCCTGGGAGGATTCTGGTAAACACATTTTTAACAAGAGTGCACTCTGCAGCTCTCAACTGAACAGCTGGAATGTGCGTCTCCAGCCAGGTTGATGGCCGTCAGATTCAGAGGCAGAAGGTCCTGACTGCTGGGTTGACATGGTGCTGCATCGTTTTTCTGCACAAGCTTGGCGCGGGCTGTACCCAACACTTCGTTGTGAAATGCCTCTTTTGCTCACCTTGCAGCAGCATCAGATGCCAATAGATGGGAGTGTCAACGATTTCCTTGAATGGTTTTGAGTGATGGCATAAGAAACGCTCCGCTCACCATTTTTCATCCATTTCCTTCGCTACCCTAGATGTCTGCTCAAGGAGGGATCTCAAGTTTAGATGCTTTTATTTGAAAGGTCCCTTACGAGACGTGTAGCCCAGCCCCCTCTAACCTACACCTAAGGAAGCAAAGCCCCAGGGAAGGAGAAGGGCTTGTGTCCACCGTGCACTGCCGGGCTGACGCACAGGCTGGGCTCTGAGGCGGGCAGTGAAGGTAAATGACCCAGGCTGTCTGGCTTCTCTGACTGACATTTTGATGAGATTTCTGTGTGATTTGATGAAAATCTAGTTTTGTTTTGTTTTTTTTGAGTGAGAAAAATCTTACTTTAAAGCCCCTTTATGTGAATTGCCGCGTTTCTTTTGAAGTGTGCCGCGGTGGTTTGTACTAGCAGGGGAGATGCTATAGCAACCCAGAAATTCCCAATAAGCATACACTTTCTGAATCCTAAGTCCAGTTGCTAAAATTTTTAAATCTATTTTAACCTAACATTTTAGCATCAATTTTTCTTTTTAACATCAAGTGATTATCAAGTGTTCCTTTTGTAATGTGATCACTGAGTTTCCTGGGTTGGACATATTAAGTGTTTGACGAGATGCCCTGTGCTTTTTTGAAAGCTGAGTCTTACGAAGTGGCCGAGTTCCTTGACATGTGTCGTATTTGCTGAGTACCTGCCACCACATGCACCCAGACCCAGAGCAGTAGCTTTATGCTTATGAGTTTGTATTACTGAGATTTGTGCAATACTGAATGTATGTAGTGATCCAGTTGTCAATAAAAAAAAATGTGGCTTCTTTGTGATCATAAAACCGCCTTTTCTTTTTAAGGAAGAAGGGTTTGGGAACAGTAGCTTTTATCGCTGCTTAGAAATACTCGTCCCACTTTTCTGACCACTCGCCCCGCTGCCAGAAGTCCGACTCCGCTGCGCGCGTGTTTTCCTGGCTCTTCCTTCCCTTTCTGCAGCCCCCCCCCCCCCCTGCCGCCCTTTAAGGACCATCCATTTCCTCTAAGCTGATTCTCCAGCCTCCCCCAGATTTCGTCCTTACGCTCTTGTGTCATCACCCCTACTTGGAACCCCTTTTCTGGTCCTTCACCCAAGTTTTATGGTCACCTCCAAAACGGTTCTTGAGGGCACCTGCTCTCCCCTAGAATTGAGGTTTCACGGACAACCAGAGACAGTCCCTGGCCTGAAAGGTCTCACTGTTGACAAATGAGACAGACACTGGTAAAGAATATATGGTAAGCGTTGCTAAGAGCTAACATGGACTGCTAACTTGCTACATAGCCAGAATTGTTCTGATTAACATAATCTTCGCAACGACCCAGTGGAGTCGGTCTGACTCCTGTCTGTCTCATAGAGGAGAGACTGAAGCTCAGCGTAGACAAAGCCATCCACTAAGGTAACACGCCACGCGGCCGGGGCACTGACAGCCCACGCTGTCAGCTCCAGCCCTGTGTTCCTGGCAGGACACGTGGCGTGTCCCAGTGAGAACCAAGATGGGGGTGCACTTCTGGAGAGGTTTCTTAGACGGTATGACCCCTGAGCCAAGTGTGAAAAGGCAGACTTAGGGAACAACGGACAAAACTGACGAAGATTGAAAATACACTTACGAAGCTGAACATTCAGAAGAACGTGAGGCACAGAAGGCCGCAGACAGGAAGGACGAGGCAGGCCTGGGGCACCGGGCTTTCTCCAGGTAATGCAGGTGTTGGTAGCCATTGAAGAGTTTTATAAGGGACTCAGCAAACAAGTGCTTTCAGAAGTGTTAACCGCGCCGCTCTGAGGAGAGTGGAGAAGGCTGCGGCAGGAGGCGGCCTGGAGGAAACCGCCACAAACCCCCAAGTAGGACCCGAGGGGGGGACCCGTGTGAGGAAGGCTTGCGTTACCTCAGCAGGACTCCATTAATGGACCCACCCAAAAGGGCTGTGATTTTGTGGCTTTTGGCTAATCACACTAGCAATACTTGCACTGGCTTTTTGGTTTTGGTTTGTCTCTAGCACAGTGTTGAAAGACTTGACATGAGCCCTATCATTTTCGTCACTATTCATTTAACACCAGGTGCATCATGTTTTGGCAGAAGGATTCCTCCAGCCATTATCAGCCGTATCGTGTTCTGTCTGTGTTCTCTGCATCTGAGCTCCACCCCAGACGGGCCCGGGGCATCCTGCGAGAGGCCACTCCGTGGTGCCCCGGCGTGGCACGTAGACCGTGAGCTCTGTGGAGGGAGCTTCATGCAGAGGCAGAGGCAGTGCTGATGGATGGGTCATCACGCTTTGAAGTCGGCTCTTCCATGTCAAGATGCCCACTGTCTGGGTTCAGCCAGTGTGGCTAAAAGCCGCTGTGAAGAGTTTCAGGAGGGGGTGCGCTGTGCTGCACGGCCACAGAGCATGTGCCTGCCACTGTCTCCCAACCACCCTGTGGTTCTTTGCTCAACAAGGAAAGGGCGGAGCAGGGCTGGAAAAATCCCTGCAAGATCAGAGGTTCCTAAAAATTCTAATACTTCCTAGGTTTCACTCAGCAGGAAATGCCTTTAAAATATAGTCTTTCTTGTCTTGTTTTAAAGAAACAGGACCTAGGCTTTGGTGTCTCAGAGATCAGAAAACGCAGACACCTGTGAGGTTAAGCCGCCTGGCCCTTCCCACGCCATCTAACAGCTGTAAGCACTGGCCTGCCTGCAAAGCGCTTCTGCAGTCACATGTCCCAGTCGTGCCTCAGCAGACAGGACCTGGGCCAGAGAGATGGCACCAACCCAGAGTAATACAAGTGACGCTGGTCTGGCACAGGGCGTGGGTGCTGCGTGCAAAGGGGTAGCTCTGGGCGCGAGACACGCCTGGATTTGAACCGTGGGGTCTGTCATTGTGTAGCCTGATGCCCGGGCACAGGTTGGGTGACTTCTCCCAGCCGGCGTCCCTTCCGTAGAGCAGTCCCAGAACTGGGGGACACTGGACGAGGGACAAGCCCACGAACAGCATCCAGCTTAGATACGCCAAAGTTTACCCATGGGTTGTCCATCAAAGCAAGAGTTCACGGAGACGAGAGTTTCCACACAATTAGGGAATTACTCCCCCGTATTAAAATCTGGGGGAATGTGCTATATTTCTTTCAAACGACATCACTGTTTGAGAAAAATGCTACTAATACACAGAACAATTGTATTCTCTTTGTAGCTGATTGGAGAATTCCTGTGTAGAGAGAAACCTGCCATATTTGAGGATTAATAGCCAAACCCCCTGGGTCCCAGTGGGCTGCACCAGACCTCAGAGGGAAAGAGGGGCTGGAGGCCCACCCAGCCCCCAACTTCCTTTGAGATGGGAAGCCCGTGGGGGAGGGGGAGTTAAGCCACTGTGGCGTGGATGAGCTCCACTTTCCCCCTGGCTCTCCTGCAAAAGCTCCGTTGAATGCCGAGACTCTCAGGATTCTTACTACCAGTGACTTGGAATTCAGCCTCCCCCGAGGCAAGGGCTCTGAACCAGGAAAAAATCCCAGTTTAAAACTCCTATTTCGTTGATAGCCTTAGGGGGTAACTACACAGCTTCCCTTTCATAAAGGGGTAATTCCCAAGCTATTCACTAGAAAGTACCCACTTCCAGGTGTGAAGAAGTCACTGGGGTCGTGTTACGGCAGACCTGATTCCCCGGGTCTGGGGTGGGCCTGTGCTGTGGCCTGCAGACCCCTCTGAGCACCCAGCTTGTAAAATACTCATCCCTGGGGGGACCTGACGGCGCTCGGCGATGGCTCGTGGTGTTCAGGGTTTCCGGTCAGCGTGAGACACTCCTGTTGCCACCCTGAGGTGACAGAGTTCAAAGGCCAGGACAGTTCCCCAGGCAGCTCTAACACTACGTGCTGAGCCCCTTTAGGTGTCCCGAAAGGCCAAACGCGTCTCGGGACCCCCAGCCCCATTTCCACGCAGTAGCCAGGGGCCCGCTCAGCCAGCAGAACCAGGCGACTTAGAGGGTCCGCCAGTCACTTTCATCCCGATGCTCCCGAAACAGAGGCTTCTCAAGTGGAAAGACTAAGTTTGACTTCTCGGGGCGGCAAAAGGCCCGGAAACATCTTGTGTGGCTCTTCCTTTGAATGGCCACCTAGGGTGGCGCAGGGCCCTGCCTTTGTCAGGAGATGTATTTTGTGATAAAGTACATGTAGCATAAAATTCACCATTTTAACCATTTTTCAGTGCGCAGTTCAGTGGCAGTGAGCACATCCTCTGTTGTGCCGCCCTCACCGCCTTCCCTCTCCAGGACTTCATCAGCCCAGACGGAAACTCGGTGCCCGCTAGACAGCAGTTCTGCGTTGCTCCCAGCCCCGGCAGGTACCACCCTACGCCCTGTCTCTGAGTGTGTTTACTCCCAGCACCTCACGTACCTGCAATCATACATTTGTCCTTTTGTGTCTAGTGGGAGATACATTTTTGACCTTCTTTATCGGCATGAGATGTGGCCGAAATACTGACTGGGTATGACTCTGGTTCTTGAAGCCACGCTGATGGGGCCCTCACTCACTCAGCTCTGAAACTGCCATCTCATCACGTGCCTGCTGGTGGTTCTTATGAACAAGTGGGGCATTTTAAGAAAAGCACCAAGAGTGTACACCCCACTGACCTAGATGAAACTCTTCATGAGGACAGAGTTAAATGCACAGGACGTCCACCACTCCTGTCAGACAGTTCAGTCGGCAGACTAATTTGGTGCAGCAACAGACCTTTTCTTATCCCTTGTTTTCCTGCCGCGGACCAGCCGCAGCAGGATCCAGGGATTCCCAAAGGTGGGTAAGGCGTTGGCGATGGGTAACAGATGTCAACACGCCTCAAAGGACAGTGAAGCTCTCTTCCATTTATTACAAGTACAAGCAGGTTTTTGTATTTTCATTTTAGGTAGTGATTAACATTTGCAGTGTAGCATGATCAGTTAAGCAGAAAAAATCAATACAAAGGTAATCAGGAAAAATACAAAACTTCCCATAGATTCAGTTATAATAAACAAAGATTATTTTGACCAGGAGAGCCATAAATCAGACAATTGGAAATAGCTCTATGTACAGAATTTGAATGTCTTATTGTATATTAAAGTTTCTCAGAATTTGTCATGGGGCAAAAGGATATGCTAGACTGAGTAGAGGTAATAGGAAATTTATTATAAGGCCTTTGTGATGTCTAACTTAGCTATCTAGCCTTTTCTGTCTAAAATGTTTCTCTGTGTACTATAAACTCTGGCTCTTTATAACTGTTTCTACATGTTTAGTTTGTAAATACTAGCCAGCTTTTGTTATTTCTTTGCCTAATTGATATATATTCCTATTCAAGGTAAAGGAGGGGCTATTGCTCTGACAACTATTAGACATACAGGGACTTTGTTCTCTGGTCAAGAAATTATTTTGTACAAGTTCATTGGAATTATGCTAATCAATGAACCTGAAATACAGGTGTCTAACAATCCCACCACATTTTGATCAGCAAAACAAACTTGTAAGGAGAGATAGACAGGAAATCCAGCCACAGTTGCCTCTGCCTTGCAGATGCATCTCAACCGTCCTGACCTTGTCAAGGGACGGTTGCTGGCCGGTTCCCAACATTTTCCAGTATTCGAGCCAGTCATTCATTCCATCCATCAACCAAAATGTATTCCATGCCTCCACTGTGCCAGAACGTTTTGAGGATTCAATTTCACGAAAACCTAGAAGGTCCCTGGGTCTTACACACAGATGACTTAAAATGAGTGCCACGTGTCGGGAGAGGTTGGCGTTTGTCCTCTCGAGAGTGAAGGCAGGCTGCAGGCAGCTGCTCCCATGAGGGTGGTCCCCACCTCCAGGCAC